ACGGGACAGATTTGCTGCCAGTCGAACGAGATCCCAGAATCTTAGCAAGGTGACACACTTGGCGTAGTCAAACGCGGCACTGTTCGGAATGACATACCATGTCCAACATTCAACTCGGGGAGGAGGGGGGACACGCAAGGCTTTGCCATCCTGGCAGCGCTGTGTTTTGTATTAAGGAGGGGTGAGAGCAAAGCCGAGAAAATCTGGGAGAAAATTGGGGGGCGGTACCAGATGGTGCACCGTGCTCCAGTCTGGCATCCCAACTGCTCTCTCGCACCCACCTCCTCCAGCCTCCTGCCTCCCCCCACCGCCCCTGTGCCACACACCACTGATGGTTTGGCACGTCATATGCTAGCGTAGGTAGTATGCCAGTGAGCGCATAGTCAAGTCAAGTCAAGTCACCTTTATTTATATAGCGCTTTTAACAATACAGATTGTGTCAAAGCAACTGAACAGCATTAATTAGGAAAATAGTGTGTCAATAATGCAAAATGACAATAGTAAACACTCATTTTTCAGTTAAAGACAGTTCATCACTGAATTCAGTGATGTCATCATCCAGCTCAGTTCAGTTTAAATAGTATCTTTGCAATCATTTGCAATCAAGACAACGATATCGCTGGAAATTAAGTGTCCCCAACTAAGCAAGCATAGGCACTTCATATTTTTACCCATGAGTGAACGATGCAAAAATGAAAGAAAAAGATGAGTGAGTGAACTGAAGCGATAAATACTGTAATATGAAACAGTAATATTGTGAAACATAAACAAACTGTTTTCTGAATCTGAATATATTTTAATATGTAATTTATTCCTGTAATTTTAAAGCTGAATTTTCAGCATCATTACTCTCTTCAGTGTCACATTAGAAATTATTCTAACATGATATTTGGTGTTTAGTTATTATTGGTGCTTAATTATTAATAATGGTTCTTATTATCAGTGTTGGGTTTTTGTTGAAACAGTGATTTTTTTTTTTAGATAAGGTTATTCGATAATTAGATCATTCAAAAGAACAACATTTATTTGAAATAGAAATGTTTTGTATCATTATAAATATCTTTACTGTCACTTTTGATCAATTTAATGCATCCTTAAAAATATTAATTCCTTTAAAAATCTTACCTAAAACTTTTGAATGGTAGAGTATAACAAAAATAATAAGCAGCACAACTGTTTTCAACATTGATAATAATAATAATAATTATGATTATTATTATAATAATAGCCTAATAAATATATTTTGAGCAGCTGATGAGCATATTTGAAGTTGTTTTAAATTGCAATATTGTTTCACAATATTACTGTTTTACTATATTTTGATAAATAAATGCAGCCTTGGTGAGTACGAGATTTCTTTCAAATACGTACAAAAAAAATCATAGCCTAGTTGTTCCAAATTTGTGACTGATAGTGTACCCTATGTATGTTTATTTAAATTTCACTAACCTGAAGTACACAAAACTTAATTTGGAGACTTGATTTGAAATATCAGTAATTGAGTCAGATCTTGATTCACTATCCACTCTGATTCATTCTCTGAGTTTATTCGTTTGAATGGATCATTAAAGGAACTGGCTTGAGCCGTTCGCTCAATAACCGTTTGCTATAGAGCTAGACTGGCCGCATTGTGTCTATATGATTCACCGAGTTCACACTGCACGATTTTAGCCCGATTTTTCACTCGCCGACAGGTTTTAACAAGTTTGAAAATCATGCAGTGTGAACTCGGCATAAGAGGAATTAACTCGTAAGAGTCATTTGCTCATGGCTCAGACTTGGTCGTGCACACAGCACGATGTTGTTGAATCACTTGAAACAATCAAATAGGATTACTTGTCGCACTGTTATGCCGAGTTCACACTGCACGATTTTCAAACTCGTCGGATCGCCGTTGTTTTCACACTGCGTGACTA